ACTCGACGCCTAACCTCAATATTGCTTACCTTATTATACCACTTCACGAGGGAGATAGAACGCAGACACCTATGATCGAAGACAGCTAATCTTTTCATGTCTTCTGCTCTCAATGGCCAGGACTCACAGCCATAAAGGAGGACGGAGCGGACTGTTGAGCAGTACACACACCCTTTGGTCGATAGTCGGATATCACGTCTACGCCAGAGACGGCGTAAACTGGCGTATGCGAACCTAGCTCTCTGTATTCGTGTTGAGATTTCGTCTGAGATCAACCCGTTGGGGCTGATGGTACTTCCCAAGTAATTGAAGCGGTCAACGTGCTCTACCACTTCACTTCCTATTTCTAATCTAGGGGTCGGTGAAGTCCAATCCTGCAGCATCATCTTACATTTTACAGGGGCGAATCGCATGCCAAACATACGAAGATTGTTACTCAAGGTGTTCAGTAGACTCTGCATTTTGTCAGAGTCCTCGCCTAGAAGGACTATATTGTCCGCATATTCTAAGTCGACGAGATTATTCCCTGGTAGCAAGTCAATTCCTGAGTCGCTGAAGTGTGTTAGAGTTAAGTCCATTAATACGTCTATGATGAAGTTGAATAGGAATGGGGATAATGGGCAGCCTTGACGGACGCCACTAGTCGTCACCACTTCAGATGACAACTCGCCATAGGCCCTCACCTGGCTGCATGAGTACGAGTAGAGTGCCTTAATCAGTGCAATGTATTTTCTCGGCATTAAGGACAAAACTACAAGGGAAACGTTCACTACAGCCATCAGATCAGAGCAAAGTCAGACACTACGTGCCACCACTGAGGAAACCTGCATGAAAGATACATTGGAACTAACTCTTTGAAGGTAATGTTCAAGAAAACGTGTACATCCATTTTAGGAATAGAAAAGAGGAAAGAGATAGACAAGGAATGACTCTCAACGGACACCTGCAAGCTAACAGAGGAGAGGCGAGGAGGATGGTGAAACACAAGATGAACCAATGGACAACAAAACGATCAGCCTAGCTCAATGGATATCAAACTGAATGAAGAAGTGAAGGAGAGTGCTAGGAAAGACAAAAGACAATTCTACGACACACCGGAAGGCAACGGAAGCAGAACAGACAGGTTGCCGGTAAAAGACACCTCAGGACATTATATCAGATAACCAAGTCTATCGCTATCCACTAAGAGACCAACCAAAATGATGACGCCTATAAAAGATGTTCAAGAGGAACTGATTACCAAGGGGGAGAAACAAAACACACAATGGGCTGATCACTTTAAAGGACTCTTGAAACGACCATCACCTGCAATTCGCCCAGAAATACCATCAAAGCCAACAGCACGCACGGAACTGCCTACCAGTGGATGCCAATCCTTCAATGAAAGCAGAAATCCTGAATGCAACCAGGCTATTGAAGTCTAGCTGGGAAGGCAGCAGCACCAGACGGAATTCCCCCATCCTGAAGCAATAAAAATGGATCCAGAGACTGCAGCAGATGACCTCACCCCATTATTGCATAAGATTTGGAAAGATGCGAAGGTTTCTATGGATTGGAAGAAAGGTTGGCTACCTCATCAGGCTGTCAAAGAAGGGCGATTTAGGTCTTTGCAAGAACTAGTGTGGAATAATGCTCTTGTCCACGCCAAGGGAAATGCTAAGTCGCATCATCCTGGAGAGAATAAAGGGTTCACTGGATATCGAACTCTACTAACCAGGAACAAGCTGGATTTAGGAAAGGCAAATCGTGTGCTGATCAAATCGCAACTCTACGCATCGTCGTCGAACAGACAGCGTATAGAATGGCAGTCAAACCTCTACCTCAACCTACTTCATCGACTCCAAAAGGCCTTCGACAGACAGCGTTGATCCCGAAGCAATTTGGAAACTCCCTAAACACTATAGCGTGCAGTGCCCAAGTATTTATCAACCTCATTCAACAGCTGGCTAGATGACAATGTCACGTGTTAGGTGATCCACAACGGAAAACTCAGAGAGGCGTTCTAAGTGCATACAGGACAGGAATAGGACGAGGCTGTCTATTATCACCAATGATATTCTAAATTGTGGTGGACTGGGTTATGCGTCGGACTTTGGGTAGCGAGGAGACAGGAATACGCCGGACCACAGATAAGACTCTAGAAGATCTAAATTTCGCAGGTGGTTTATGTTTAATGTTACACAAACTCGAAGACTTGCAGGCGAAAACTAACGAACTGGTAGAAGAGGCAGCAAAGACAAGAATTCAAGTGAACACAGAAAAAATGGAGGTAACGAAGATAACCTACCAACAACAGCAGCAACAACAACCAGCACCAATCAACATCAACGGAAGAAATTAGAAGGAGGTCACTCCCTTCACTCATCTTGCTAGGCACCATCATTCTCACTACAGGCGGCAACGATGGGGACGTCAAAATTAGAATCGGAAAGCAAACGCAGACATTCATCATTCTCAAATCAGTTCGGAAATCTCTGACATTCAGCATAAACAATAAAATTTGGATTTCCAACGCCAATGTTGAGTCAGTAACTTCTATATGCATCTGAAACTTGGTGCGTCACGTAAAGCATTTCCAACAAGCTACTGCAGACTTTTATCATCCGCTGACTTTGATGACACCATAATGAGGATCAAATAACCAGCAAGAATTCGTAACAAGAAACTCTGGGAACACACCAACCAAGAACATACTGCTCAACAAAATATCCCGAAGAAAGTGGAGATGGATCGGACACACGTTGAGGCGACCGTCGAATGACGTCGCACATTTCAGTCAAACTCGAATGATAAACGAAGAGTGGGGTGTCCGAGCTATATTGACTCCTTGTGTAAAGATAGATAGTGAGGTGGTAGAGCGTGTTGACCAATTCACTTGTTTGGGGAGTTGCATCAACCAACGCCAGCGAGTTGAAAGCTGACGAAATCTCTGCATGGATATAGAAGGCTCGTGTGGTATTTGCCTACCCAATTACACCATCTCTGACTTAGTAAACGTGATATCCAGCTGGCTGTCAACCGATGAGCGTGTATACAGCTCATGAATTCGCTCCGTCCTACTTTACGGCTGGCTGTGAGCAAGACATGGCCACTGAAAGTGGAAGACATGAAAAGGTCGGCTAGCTGTCTTTCATCATAGACATCTGCGTCATATGTCCCGTGTTAGGTGTAATAGGGTGAATAATATTGAGGTTAGGCATTGGTCGAGTGAGTGCTAGGTGAGGAGAGAAAATCAATCGATGAGGTTGTGAAGTTACATCGACTGAAATTGTTGGGAATTATGTTACGCATGACTGCCTAGACATCCATCGCCTGCCTCGACAATGGGCAATGTTAGCTGACTGACACAGGATGGATCAAGTTGGAAAGAGCTAGTGGTGGTCAAGCCAAAATATGGCTTCACAAGTCAACGAAATCCACAACATTTAGTTTAAGCCACGTAGGGAGATGTAGGTAACTTCATGGTAAAAACAAGTGGTTGGGGACAATCGGTGATATGGCTCAAAATCGTTCTGTGGCGCTGGTGCAGATGCACTCACTCTTTATGATTTGTCATGTCCAATAAAACTCTACTTTTCTTCCGTTGTAGTGAAGATATTCTCCGGTCCAGGTTCCTTTTCTGTAGATGGATTTTTCGACCGTACTATCATTTCTTCTTCCAGCAATAGGTCCAGGAAATTCAGCTCATCGTTGTGTTAATATCCCATACTGAATTGAATGTTTGGGTGGATCATACTAAGACGGTCAAATAATACAGATGCCTCATTCATTTCGTTACAAACAACAAATGTATCATCGACATATCGACTTCTGTCCTAAAGCTATAAGGCTGGATTAGTAGGGACACTGTACGACAGAGTCAGGAAGTTATGTTCGCCAAACAAGGTGGAATTGGGTAACAAACAGGATTTATCCAAAAGTACAGCAAAGAAAACGACGAGAAAACCAAGCATCCAACTGTTGGAAAGAAAGTGATCATCTGTCTCCCATTCAGAGGAAAAGCGGTATCACAAAACATTGACAAGAGAATGAAAGGAGCAATAAAAAATGCTTCCCTGTGCCTAAGCTCGTAACGCCACACAGTACAGCACCACGTGCTCCATAAGCAAGTCTAGACTGGATAAAAACCCTACTGATGTCACCTCCAACTGCGTCTATAAATTTACGTGCATTTGCGAGACCAAGGACACTGCAAGGACGAAAGAATGGCTTCCATCCGGCTTTCAGAGCATAACTTAAGAAACTTATGAATTAAAGGACGCAGATATTCGCAAAGTGCAACTAACAGACACCTTGTGGACACGGGCCATTTCGTCAACATTTCTAAATCCTTCAAAATATTAAACGTACAAGGGACGGAAAATTCAATACTATTCGATGAAACAATTGCAATCAAGCGTTTCAAACCAAACTTATACATACAGAAAGAGGGTGTGATCAATCTCTCACTACCTTCGTAACTGCATTTTGATTACATTGATTAGTCATCCATATTAGTGATTTCAACTCACTGAGCAAGTTTTCAATTTTATGAACAATAAACTTCTTGAGTTGCTGTGCAAACCTACATGCTAAAACTGTTTATTAGATTCTTCTGTTTTCTACCTTCTCCTCCACCCCCACCCCACCTGCTTTTCTATTTTTAAAGCATATTAACTGACGGTAACTTAAACGAAAAATTGCGGTGCTTAAATTTCAGATGCGTTGATTTTATGATGATTTCTTTACCACTATTCAAACATTGAAATATGTTATTGTCATTATCAATAGGCACTTTAATTTCAGGTAGTCTGCAGATGATGAGAACCTATGAAATAGAATGATATCATTTTTAGCCGCAAATCCGCACTTTCTCTCATTATTGAGACACACTTCTCACTCGTCTGCGGCTTTTTAAAAGAAGCCACCTACAAATCTCAAGTCACATGGCAACAGGATATTCTATTTTAAAAATAAATTTTATTCCAATGGTGCTTAGAAATTGAGAAATGAAAGCTTACCTCCTTTCCGTAGTACGTCAGAAGCTCCTGAAATTTCGGAATATCCTAAATGTTAGTTGACTCAACGGAACATTTGCTTACTTTGCATGCTCTGTAGTATATCTTCCCCCTATATTGAACTGTCACGAGGTTTTGCTCCTCATCGAATCTGGAGCAATTAACAAACTATAGTAAACAAAAACAACGGGAGAAAGTGTTGCAGTAAAAGCTTCTTGTATTTTGTATAATGGGCTGAAGTTTTCTCACAGCAGAGCATAAATAATTACTAACTTTTAATAACACATTCTGCTTATTTTAGCCTCGATGCAACACTATCTTCATGTGTTTAAGAAGCCAGCGTTTCTGACAGTACGCTTAGGTAGTTTATGTATACTTTTCCCTACTATTATAACTGTCATCAATGCAAGTTGTGGTATATTATAGTCTCCTGCGCAACAAAGACTCAGTTAGCATTCCTGTCAGGAGATTCCACTTACTTATCTGTGCTTAATACTCAACATCATATAACATAATGGTGTAGACCTTAAAATTGAATCATGAAATAAGCAAGTATTAGAAAGTGCATACATTGTAGTCAAAATATATTAACCCTAACACTGGAGGGATTCTGACACCTTAATCTTAGTTAAAGGAGAATTAACAATTAAAGAGTTAACTGCCACCTCCCCACACCACCATGGATTATATGCATACATTTATTACTATGAAATTTACACATGCAGTTGGACTTTTTTTAATTTTTTTTAAATATTTTTGGTTACAGCTTGATGCCACACCGTATTTTCAGTACAAGTATGGAATTTTCAGCATGGATATCGGTAGCCCAAATTTTGCAGGCCGACCATAGATATCGGGTGTGCGTCGGCAGGGGATCGAACCCCGGACCATGTGCATGGTCGGCGAGAGTCCTAACCACTGTGCCACCGACGCACAATTGCAATTTGTGAAGCAATGAGGTACCAATAGGAATGAAACGAAAAAACAAATCAAGTGTGTATGTAAAGTAAAATTACTTTCTTATCAATACATATTATTGCCCAGAAACACAGATAAACACTTAAAAGGAGATTCTATGTCATATTGAATACTGTGTGAGATAATGTTCTTTTCCCGATACACTAACACCTGCATCTACACCTAACCTACATTCAACTCATCACAACAAGCAGTTCAAAAGAAATCCTACGTTTAGGAAATATGCACAGAATAGTGTGGTGATGTAGCATTCACAACACTGTCGCTACATCTTCACACGAATAAGGTCAAGAGTTAAGACAAGGGTGACAATTTCGTAACATTTTCACTGAAACACGAACCTATATTTCAAGAAGACTAACATCACTGTTGGAACCATGTGTTTCCAAACCGGCAAGTAAAAATTATATATATAAATATATATTAACAACTAATACAAAAAGGTACCACGGAACTAATGATGCTGCAACATTTCGCCCAGTATGAGTGCCTCAACGTGGTGAAGTTTGATGGGCTGGTCATCTAATTAACACATAGGGAACCAATACTTGTACAACTTGTACTTAAATTATCACTGAAAAACCATCGACCTACTCAGTCATTACACATACGTATTTAAGCCAGGAACCATGTTACCGAAACAAAACTAACTGGCAAGTCGTACATACAAACTCTCTCTTTCTCTCTCAGAATAGCTAACGGTGTTTGACGTAATTGGCAATGGTGTCATAGTGACTACAATAAAGTGAAAATACCTTTTCATTTTTAGCTCTATGCTCGCAGTGATGGGACCCAGCATAAAATAGAATATTGTCCTTTCTCACAAATCGAGTGGTTTACCTTGTGATGGAGTTACTATGTTAATCTATCATTTCTCACGAGTATTGTGATTTACTGTGTGATCAATTCATCATCCTTTGTCTCGCCTTAAGCTTTGTCGGACCGTCAACTGATCAGGATTGACATTTCCAGCCAATAAGAATAATTCATTCTCGCGGCGATGTAAAGCATATGATGTTTTGTTTCCTAATAAATGTAGAATACAATATCTTAGAGTCACAGGCCAGCCTTTGTCTTTTGATATTTGCATGACTCAGTGAATCGGAAGGTACAACGGACGAATAGGCGTATTAGCGTACCAGTCGAGTTCATTACTGTTATAAAAATATTAACAAGCGCAGATATAACAATTTGGCGACGGGTTTATTCAGTCCAGTGCAGCTATAAAACACAGTATTTCATTAAGCATGGCAACCAAAAAGCTTCAGAATCATCGTAGAGAACAATGGGACGACGACTACTAAAAAGTCATACCTTCTATTCTATCAAAAGAATAATTAAGGCTTGTGGGGTAAAATCTAACAAATCATTGTCCAATAAGGAATACATGAAATCACACACAAGATTTACAAACAGCTGACAAAAATTTCAGACACAACCTCTAACCAAATCAACTGCATGTAAATACTCTGATTAGTCTAAAGAAAAGCTCAACATAATTCAACAGTAGATACGAGCATTAAATTAGTTCTGTGACAAGAATATAAAGTCTAACCAAAACTAATTTAAAAACTTACTCTTAACCAGTTAGAATTCAAACAATTTCGAGCATCAATCCAGTGCTGCCTGACACCATCTACATTCGCCCTTACAAGCCACGCATACCCACCTCGTGATCTCTGAAATTGATGAAGTAATTGGATTCTTATGCAGTGCTTGAAACGAAACATTCATAGTTAAGTAAGGTTATAAAATCACTTTGTGTGTACGCGAAAATGTCACAGAGATTTGAGTAGTACAAATTCAGAGACTTACTTTGAGTTGCACGGAGCTACTCATTTCATCCACGTAAACAACTTGTCCACCAAATGGACCGAAGACCGTACCACACTCTATCTTTGCATTGGCGTAAGCGCCAAGACCTGCACCAGGAATTCGGGATCTTAAGATTTTGATCAATTCTCCAGGCGCAGTTTTCGCTGCGTGCTCATAATATAACTGTCCACACACACATTTGGTTTTCTGATGAAAAGCAAATTTATCCTCTGCTTGTTTGCAAACAACCAAGGTAAATTCTCAATCCATCGGACAGGATGCTTAAAACAACCATCCATCACTGAGCGTTTGCATGTGTAGCAATCTGAATAATACAAAGGGTTGAAGTAAAAATCAGAACGATTCCTATAGAAGGTTTTTAATTGGTTACTAAATTCTACAACAAATTGTATTCTCATGATGACACCTACTTTTAAGAGTAAAGACTTAGTGTTAATAACTATTTGAAGAAACAACAATGACACTAAGTCACTTTTTGAAATCACCACAGACAACACTTATGTCTATTACGCGACATAATTTCATACAGGCCTCTATGAGAAATAAATTCTGCATTTCAGTGTTTCCACACCAATGGAATGCTTCAAGTACAACTGCTCTCTGTTTACATTTAACTTTAGTCGACTGAAACATAGTTAATCAAATACCATCTTTTCCTTATTTCTACCTTCTCATAAACGTTTCGAGGACTGTGGTACACCTCAAGCATGGATTTAGTTCATACTTATTTACGAGTTACTCAGATGCAGGATAAACTACGCATTCACTTTTAATTTCTACTGATTAAACATGCCATAAAATGTAGTTGAAACGTCCACTATGGAGCCATCAGCTCGATACATCTCACTGAAAGACTTAAAAGATAACAGTGATAATCACAATCTCAAAGTACTTCAAAACTAACAGTCTTTTATTAAAATAAGAGTTGTTTAAACATCTGCTAACCACCTAAGTGTGCAAACACAAAAAAAAATAACCTACTTTAAACTATACGAAACTTACACAGGTACCTATCATCTTCGGGGATTTTTATATCTGCAGCGTAGTTTGGCCGTTCTTTGTTTCTCTTCGGATAACGACTGCCTATAAATCGGTTACCTTTATTATTTTCACTTATCACCTTCAGAATCGGTAAGCCCCATCAATTTAGGAGTTCCGGAGTGGGCTTCTGTTTCACCTGAGATTTCCCCAGTTGTCCCGCTACATCCACTTCGTAACTCAGGTGCCCACTCATCACCACTGCTTAGGCAGTCACTACCACTATCTGAAGATAGTTCGGACCTTCTTCTTTTTGGCTATTTAAATAATGAAAAATCATTTTAAAATCTGCATACCTTTGAACTGTGTGGTGGGACTACAGGCTCTGTTGGTTTTCGCTTCAACCTTCTTTCCGTTGACTTTGTACGTGTGCATGAGGCAGACACCTTCGGCTAATTCATCAGAAAATTCAAAGAATTATATCACATTTGTCAAAGCAAAGCAAAAACTAAGGGCAAAATGTTACAAGAACAGTTGAAATGAATTCTGCACTTAGAATGCATTTTCATATCACATTATTAATTAATTTCCTAAAAGCACTTTCCTCCACAAGGAAGGAGGTAGGAGGCAATTCCGTCAACATGATGTGCAGCCCATTCACTTTCAGGTAGCTGTTAACATTACTTAGTATCATTCACAGGTCACCATGAATTTAAAAAACTAACGTTGTAATTTACGAGATAATGAATTTTATTTACTCTCTCCTCTTTGCGTGGTTCTCTAACTTCCGTCCTTAGTGCAGGACAAGTATTGAGCGGACTATGATTATATTATTGAGGCTATGAATAAACTGGCTTTCAACTGAAATGCATCAGTTCAACCTGCCAAAAACCACCTAGAATATGAAGGATCAGCAAAAAAAGAACTATAATGTACAGAAATATACGAAAGAATAGTAACATGGAAAAACGTGAGATTTAATGGGAATGAAAGGTCTCAAAGAGTGAATGCATCTCCAGCATTGAAAACGGTTTTGAGCCATGTCACCAACTGTCTCAAGTCATTGGTTCTTAGCACTTCAACAACATCAACAAGGCAATCCATGCCTTCCTATATGGGTCATTTTATGTGCATCTAGGTAATTCACTACCTTCCACAGTAAGCGAAAAAAATACCTCCAAGAGCGCCAACTGACTGAGTTTAGAAATACAAACAAGTAATCCATAACTCAATTTACGGGAACATGTTTTATTTACTGGGTTATCAGCCACACTAATTGTGTGTATGTCTGAGTGATATTATCCAGTAGTAGCCTAAGCTGAACTAAATAGGGCGTGACTCCTGTTGCCCATCAAAAGACGTATGTACTACAGAAAAGTTAACTGCGTGTTAATATACGAAGACTTGAAGAGGCTGGCCATCTTCAGCCATGCGTGTCATAGATAGTAAAACAATGCGAGCAATGACGAGGTTAGCCACACAATATTAGGCATTAACACTAATATAATAACAATAAGGAGGGTAAGTGAATCAATGAGGCTATAAAGCTGCATCGATTGAAGTGGTCTGGACATGTGTTACGTATGCTGGGCTATCGTCTTCCTCATTGAGCAACGTTAGCTAGAGAGGGTGGGCTGGGAAAGAGTTGAGAGCACTGGCACCAACTAGTGGATCTTATCTTCAAATGGTACCACAGACAGAGGGGGTCTAGTTACAGTGTTTAGAACGTTGAGAAATGACTGGGCCTGATTTCTCTTCTCTTTGCCCTCCCACCTAGTGAAGATATCTAAGAGGATATAGCAGAGACGTTCAACAACCAGGAACGAAATATATTGCTGTAGAATATTGCTTCTCCCACCGAGACACTAACACTCACAACTGACTACATCTGTGGACACCTTTAAGCGAAGGCTGGACAATCATGCAGCGACACACGAACTGCGTTCAAATGGCCTATCCCCCTAAAATCCCATACACCATTCGCGGTAGACAATTAAGTTCGTCGTTTTGCTTCTTTACATTCTCCCGTATTAATCTCCTGACAACTCTAACTACACTTACTATTGCTATTACTGATATATATATACATATACATATATATCAACTTCAAATTTAATCAGCTGTCTGTTTCTATGTTTTCTTTATTTCTTTTTCTGTCTCTTAGTCTGAATAATCTACACTAATTACATCTGTTATTATTTTTATTATCCGTTTTCTTTTGTCGACGACACCGGAGGACTAACTGGTCAAAGGATCAACTCTATTCACAGTAGTAACAGTCTTAACACACCTCATACAACAAACCACATATAATTAATCCTGTTGGAGTCAACCAAAGGTACGACAGTCGATTGACCGGATGAGCTACGCAGAAGTTTACCGAAGATCAGGAACCTATACCTCACAATCAAGAGGCGAGCACAAAGAAATCAAATTGGTTTATACCAGCTAGTAAAGTGATACTGGATATATTGGACTCCCAAAAGAAGTAATGGCTGTCTCATCAACTGACTCAGTGAGTAGACGAGTGGAAAACACAGATACATTGTGGGAAAGCGTTAACACAGGCCTGCATATCCGTACACTTTATTACAACCCTTCATCCAAACAGATAGCTTGCGGCTTTTGTGCCTTTAAGAATTGTAGAAAGAGTGCTCAAGCGAAATCCAAGACAAGCGTTTCGTAAGTCACTCAGAATAACACCATAATACGCGTATAAAACATCGTTAGAGAATAATCGATGACATAACATTATCAAAGTGTGTGTGAGTCATTATATACAGAGTATGACACGACTAACTAGCCTAAGCTAGCTGCTTAGCTGTCAAAACCACTGGGCATACTTTGACAAGATCAGACACAAGATGCAAGGGAAGCGTATGCGCATTCACAATTCTACTACACGCTAGACAAATCTGTGTGATTAAAAACGGAACACTCATCACCGATTCGATCGTATTATGAGATCGATCAAAACTATCATGTTTCTCTTACCTTACCTTCTTGATACCGTACGTTTCTTTGACCTTCTCAGCATCTGCAGGTGATATTTCTATAGGCAAGATAAAAACAGTTGAAATCAACACAAACTAGTGAATTTTACCCGCAGTTCTAGATTCTCCAAAATGCGTTGTCTACGTAAATCCCCCATCTCAACGTTTGGTTTAAATGCACGAAACTGATACTGAATAATGACAACTTAAACAATATTCAATATCCAGTGTTGTGTAATGGACTTCAACATACAATACCCTGTACACCGTCTACTGCAAGCCACTTTATCTCTTTGGGCTGACTTCATGGTTTGAGTTGGAAACCTCTGTTCTTTGTTAAGCTTCAATGAACATTTCCCACCACCCACCTAACTTAAATTAGCTTGATTCCATAGGAAGTGGTGCGAGGATAACGGATCTGACGGTGAAATTATGAGCTCTGATGTTGAGGTTTTGACAGAATAATGGCGTTTCCCTCGAACAGTCATCATCCAGCTACATTGCCTCTCTTCTCCTAGAGGGAAGGATAGAATATATTAGCTCCAAAAAGTATACACACTGACTTAACTTGAAGGGATATGTTGTCGTCAGAGAGAACTGAACACCAGCAAAACTCTAAAAACCATGTGAAATCCGTCTCACACATTTATTCCCTGCATTCTGGCGTCCCCTAACACTGATGCTCATTCTCCTTCGGACGTTCCAAGAAGAAACCAACCTCCATAGTGGGAGCAACCAGAAATTATTAGCCATTCACACAAATCCACACGCACGCGAGGCTCTCCTAATCACATTTCGCTTCCCTGTTGCAGTTAATACTAGCTCTTCTCAGCTATCTTAGCCACCAAGCTACCAATAATGGTTCCCTAAGCCCTGCGGTCAACTTTATGTTGGGGAATTCAGCGCCTAGGGCTTATTTTGAATCGACCGATCGGCCACACTATTCAACTCGAGGAATGGACGTATATTGTATCTCTAGGTCGTTCGCACGTGGCCCAAATCTGCATTTTCACATAACATCGAATTTCGGAAGTGGTGAATCCATAAAATGAACACCACATGCGTCAGAAGAATACTTGGCTGGTGACGAGGCCTTGTTAATGCAGGAAAGGCGCTGAAAATAGATGCAGAAACATCTGCGCTTCTGTAGACTCCAATAGACGATCCTGTGTACACTATGGCGTAGAACAGATTGATAAGGAGAAGATAAGATTGAAATACCCGCTTCAGTAACTTCATAATCTCCTCCTAAATCTCAATCGACTGCAGCTCGGAAAAAGTAAAGAATGAGTTGCACCAGAAGTCGCTGCTCTTAACAAGATGCAAGATATTAATAAATATTTTTTATTTATCTTTTATTTTGACTACAGCTTGATTCCACACCGTATATTCAGTACAAGTATGGAATATTCAGCATGGATATCGACAGCCCAAATTTACAGGCCGACCATAGATATCAGGTGTGCACCGGCAGAGGATCGAAACCCGGACCATGTGCATGGTAGGATAGTCTTAACCACTGTGCCATCGACGCACATAGTACAGTACATGAGGGACGCCAGTTTACAGGCATCATCAAATTGTTACAGAAATAGAACCATAAATTCAATCACAATTTACAGGCAGTAGCAAGATATGCCTTACATGTTCGCTGGAGATTATACATACACTTGATAAATGATAATCCCAGTAGTATAAAACAGCCTTTTCACTTATATACAATCATTTCTGTGCACAGTTGGAAAAATCTGCAAGATTGTCAGTGAGTGTAACACATCAGGAAATACAGAAGTATTGTCTTCGCATTAACAAAAAACCAGGTCTCTGGTGGATGGATTATAAGTGCCTAGGAAAACAAATAAAGCTTGAAGTCAATTTTCACACATAACTTTGTTATGTGCAGAGTCCTTGAATTATAGTTCATTGATGTGTTGTTTTGAAATCAGTGATTTGTTTATCTCATCTGATCTGAAATGTCATTGTTGGGAGTAAATACATAAGCTTCAGACGCATTAATTAATGGATTTCTACTGCTCGTGGGTATTTTCTTAGCGTGAGGAAGGTTTATGAATTTCAGCTGTTCTGACAGGAGTTGAGAATATTAACTGCTCAGCAACATTATGGATATGTGTTCATCACATTATCTTAGGAAAGGTGGGTTGCAGTTGGTGAGGGATATGTGGTGTCCAACGAGCTTACATCTGTCCATGTGATGTTGCGGTGAGTTATACCTTTTTCATGTTGTCGGTTTATGTCCATTTTATTCCACTTATTGTGTTATGTAGACGTTTTACACACGAAATGTTTTGTCTGTTTGAGGGTACGTATCTTAACCGTTAATGTTTCATCTAGAATTATAAATATAGGCAAAAACAACAGGTGTAGTATTTGAGCTTATACATTAAATGGACCTATAATTTCGGAGGCTCTCAGCTGGGAACTGGAACTACTATCGTTTGCAAAATATTGTAGTTTGTCTTTAAGCACCTTTTCGAAGGAGGCCAATGTACCTGCTTGACGCATTTGCATTGGTAGTTTATTCCCTATCTGTGAATACCTAATCAAGTAAAACTATTGCCTGACGGCTGTTTTCCATTGCTCGCTAGCTACTGTACTCTTAGTGTGTCTAAGTTTCCAGACATTGTCATCTGAAAGTCGAGAGCCATTAGTAGAGGTAAAAAGTAAGTGGCTTAGTAGGTGGTAGTAAAGTGTTAAGTTTAGTCTCAGGCGTCTTAGCCATAGTGTTTCTAGTCCTAGGGTATGACATCTAGTGGAGAAGTTCGCACCGTTTACGACTCCGAGTAATTTTAACGTGAAGTACCTCTGCACTGCCTCGACTTTCAATTTGTCCTCTATGCGTTTATTACTATAATAATAATACTAATATATATCTTCATATCAACATAAATTTACATGAAAATGCATGCCATTTTTACAGGCACGATCAAGTATGATATAATGTCAAATAGTAGATTGTCTACAAGTTAATAATGTTTGAACAGCTTAATATTTGATATATATAAATACACTCATTGTCTGGCGCAGGCCGTATCATTATTGAATTGAACAGTAGTGCTCCAGGTTCCGCGGGAAAATCGACAACTTTCGTTTTCGACCCGTAGTGTAACGCAATAGAAACCAATATAATGCCGCTTAACAAGTTTCTTTTTCTTATTTTAGCTGTTTTAGAAAAGTAAAGGTGCTAAGGTGAATCATTAAAGTGTAATGGAATAGGTAAGTGCAATGTATCATTAACAGATGCATTCATAAAGGAAATACAATGGGAGACTACAATCCCCAGGCTGACAAAGTTCATTTGCAATGTGTTATGCTACCTATATAGGTCTTACTATCATGATGTCCACCTTTGGTTTTAATACAATTATCCACAAGCCGGTTGTTTTTATTTCATATCTTTTTGTGTATTTGGTGCAAAACCGTACCCTATAGAGAATAGGAATAGAATAAGTCGAATCAAATTCTTAAAGAGCTATAAAATGTTAGGTTTAATGGAATATAATGAGCAAGTGAAGACGTAATTAGAAAATGAATGAGATGAGACATTGTGAAGTGATATTCGAAGATACGACAAAGGAAAGCATGCTAATTTATAAGATGCCCCATAAATCTGAGCAGAGCCCACGTGGTCGCATCTCAGCAATAGGCTGACCGAATGGTATATGTTTAAAGGTAGAAGCATGATCTGTCTAGGCGGTCATTATTATCTTTTTCAAGATAAAGATTCAAGCCCTCATAGAAATCTCGAGCCGTCAAATTGCATATCGCTGTTCCTGCAGAATGGGGCGATTCACCTTAATGTCCGCCACCATATCTACTGATCAGCATGCGCCACCCTCCCTCCTTTTATGATGTTAGGCTCTGATTGTTATGGCTACAGCAAATATATTGCTTGGTTCCAGACACGTTCGTACCTCACATTCCATTTCCCTAGCTTTCTTAGTGAGTGCTTCCAATAGATCTCCACGTACAGATTTATGAACATATTATATATGTGTGCATGCGTCCTAATGAACAGATTAGTTTATAAGATGTTTAACCCTTAAAGAGTGAAAAGAATAGGTTTTATGAATAGTGGAGCAAGATTCGGCAGAACACTATAGTTAGAGTTCAATGTAGGTAGTATGAACTGAAGGTAAGGTCGGTTGGCAGGACTTATCGTACTAAATCATCATGACAGTCTTTTGTATAGTTAACATTTGACATCGCAAAGTAACCTGTCTACACATATTATAAAAAGATATTAACACAGAACCAGCAGAATTTTAACATTTGGTTAACAATACTGCAGTTTGTGTATACTGAAGAAGCGCAGTTAGTCTTACAGGGAGCCGTAAAGTAAATCAAACTATATATGATAAGAGTGTAATCAGTATTATAATTCGTATTATAAAAGAATACATTAAGCTCAATAATTCAGTGTTATAAGGGAAGCAAGCGTGGTAAAGCAAGAGAACATTTGCTGCATAAATATTTAAATCAATTTAAGTATTGTAATGACAATCAAATATCAAAAAATCGACTATGCATAATTACTAAGTATCATTATATTAGTATTAGGACTAGTGTGCTTTCCGTAGTTAAATATTGAAATGTCATTGTCTCCCCACTCTACCAGCAGTTGTGATCTTTTAGACGGGCTAGGGTGGACATGTTGATATGTCTTTCTAGGCTCCTTTTAAAACTGTCAGGCTTTTCACAGGATCTAATCTCAGAGGGTAGCTGGTTCCAAAGTTTGCAATATTTAATGGTGAAAAAGTTAGCTCTAGTGGTGAGTTTATGGGTGTTAACCTTGAGAAGGTAGTCATGGTTGCGTAGTTCATACGATTTAAGATTAGCCCACGTTATGGATGAGTTACTGCTACAGTGCTTTCTTATAACTTTGAATAAGAGAAATAAGTTGCACTTCACTCTCCTTAACCATAATGGTTTAAGTCCAGTCAAATACACCTATCAAGGTATTCTATTTGCTGATCATAGCCTAATATGCGTTTCGTCAGGAATCTTTGGACACTTTCAACTTTCCTCCTGTCTGCTGATT